CGGATTTTTCCTATTTGGATTTCATTCTCTACACAACCAACCACTACTTACTATCTCTTATTATAACATGATGAGATTAGCATGATTTATAGTGAAAGATTCTTTCTCTATCTTTTATAGAGAATGTTTCAACTGATTTTTTACCACTAAAATTTCTCTTTGCTTGATTTGGCTTATTATAATTTATGTCTTCATTGGTCAATCAAGATTTTTGAAGTTTGTATTTAATTTTTGTTTTGAGAACCATAAAACCCAATCAAGTATGAAATTCATGATTTAACAAAATATGTTTTACTTAAAATATTTTATTTAAAGTTATAGTTATAATGTGCTATCAAAACTTAAGATGATGCAAATGGGTAAAAATAGTTGGACATAATAATAATAATAATAATAATAATGTCTCACTTATAACCTCTTCATATTCATAACCTCTCCATTAATTACCTATAAATTTTTTATTTAATCTCTCACTCATAACCTCTCCTAATCTTTAATTTCATCTATTAATCTCCATCACTAACAATAATGAAACCCTACCCCCACCCCCACCCCCACCCCCTAATAAACACTACCCTTTAATTTCAGCATAAACTAAATATACTTAATTTTTATAACCTCCCAATAACAAATTAATCTCCTACTCTCTCTTTCTTAATTCTCACTAATGATCACTACCATAATCATAGAGAATGTTTCAACTGTTTATCTTTATACTAGCCACTATAAATCACAACTAATTTGTTTAAAATTTTCTATGAATTCTCTTTTAAGTATAATTTCCTACTTCATTATTAACACTAATAAAGTAATATTTCGAAATAAGCTAAATATAGAGTGAGGCTTGAAGGTGTTAAATTGTCACAACATCTTTGAAGTGTTGTGCAACATAAAACAAATTTGTTAAACGCACGTGCACTAATAATTAATTAATTGAAGTGTTTGCCTTTAATAAAGTAAGATGAAGGTTGAAGGTGTTGGAAGTGTTTGCCTCAAGCTTCACACTGGGAAGATCGGAATTCTTCATCATGTGAGATATGTGTCGTCATATGGTACTAAGTTAATTTTGTTAGGTGAGATGGCATCACGTGGGTACAAGTATGCGGGTGAAGGAGAGTGGTGTAATGTGTATAGGGATGGTGACTTGATTTTGCAAGAGAGGAAAAATAGTAACCATATTTGCTATTTAGATGGGTAATCCGTTAATAGTGTAGATTACTCTTCTCATACTCTTGTCCATAAGGGAGAGGTGAAGAACAAGATGAAGAGAGTGAGTTTTTCTGAAGCCGTTGAGACATTTGGAGATTTTTCGTCGAGGGAGGATATGTTGGGTATCAACTCAAACTCCAAGTTAGTATATTATTTTTAATTCTTTATAGAATTTCATGAGAATTAGATAGGGTTAGAGATCTATCATGATTAGGAGTTTGGGTTCCATCATGATTAGGAGTTTGAATCTTATTCTAATTAGAAATTTATGCTAGAGATAGAGTTTTGGTTTCCCAATATATCTCCTTCTATTGTTAGAGAAAAAAAGAAGTGTAGAGAGAGAGAGAGAGAGAGAGAGAGAGAGAGTTTGACAATCTTTGTCCGTGCAAAAGATTATAATTTGGAGCTGATAGTTGGATTTGATTTTGATCCCATGGTTTTTTTCTGTTGAGGGTTTTCCACGTTAAATCTTGTGTGATTTTATTTGCTACGTTTGGTGGTTTTTTTAGGGTTTTTGCGAGATCTAAAAATCTCTACACTAATATGATTAATTGCTGACGTAATCTAAACTTACATGAGTGGGACCCACATAGGAAAGACTATGCAAGGGTATGTGGAAAAAATATCATAATTAATTTAATTATTTCTTGTCTACATAATAGGGGATTGAAAGTGCTGAGATGCAGAAAAAGGAAAATTTAGTAAAATCTTCGATTAGTGAGTTTTAATAGGTAGTTTAGTGGGCGAAATGAACTTCAACGATGATGAGCCGATTGTTGCAACCCCAGATGCATCAGGTTTATGTTTACTCTATTTTCTCCAATATTATTGATATAATTACCAACATTAGTTTATGATTTCATTCATTTTATGCACTCAAAATTTTTTATTCAAAGAAGTTTATTCGTTGAGGCCAGATTGTTAGGTAGGATTAGAAATTCTCTAGAATTTTGTTGGGTACCAACTCAAACATCAAGTCGGATGCGGGTTTGAAGGCTAGGCCCAATCCTAATAGTTTTCTTAGAGGCCAAGTTAACTTGGAGGCCAAGTCAGAGTGTCTTTAAATAAGGCGTCCTATTTTAGCGTTTGAGAGTAGAGAGAAAGAGAGAGACAATATTCTTGTAATCAGGATTTTAGAGGGTGTAACCAGGTTCAAGGGTATTGTGAGAAAGATGGTTTGAAAGTATTTATCCGTACAAAAGATAGTAATTTGGAGGTGATAGTGGATTGATTTTGATCCTATGGTTTTTTCCTGTTGAGGATCTTCCACGTTAAATCTCGTGTGATTCTATTTGTTGTGTTTGGTGATTTTTGGGGTTTTTGCGAGCTCTAAAATTCCTATCAAGTGGTATCAGAGCAGGGTTCAACGGTTTGTGGATGTGTGAATGGCTGCAGATAGCAGTGTTTGTGGTTTGGTTTTCTTTGTGAGGTCAGGTGTGGCGATGAGATCACAGTGACAGCGTGCTTTGGGTTCTCTATTCATGAGAAAACCGACAGTGGTCACGCTTGAGGAGAAAATTAAAAAAAAGGGGAAATGTTGAAATTTTAGTGGGGTCCACATGAAGATTCGTGAAAGGGCTATCAATCATCACGTGGCTTCTTTAATTTTGTGAACATGGATCTTGCGTCGTGGTTTTTTTTTATGCTTGGTGTTTGACGTTCTTGTAGATCCAACAGTTAGGATTGATTTGTCTTCTGATCGATGATTTGAAAGCGGATTTTAGTGATCTAGGAGTCGTTCTTAGGGTTTTTGGATGTGTTGAGTTTGTTTTTGAAGTCGGATTTATCAATTTTATTCTCTATAGTGACTGATTTGAATTTTAATTATGGTTAGAGGATGATGACTTTTTCGGGTCTGAAGATCGATATTTTGCTATTCAACGGTAAGAAAAAATTTACAGTATGGCAAAGCATGGTTCAATATATTCTTCTATTATAGGGTGTTGATCAAGCTTTGAAATAGAAGAACCTGAAGGGTTGAAAGATGCTGAATGGAGTTCCATGCAAAAGAGGGAGGTTAGCATAATTCGTTTGACACTTTCCCCCAAGATCAAGTACAATGTTATGCAGGAGACCACACTAAGGGGGCTGTGGGAAAGGCTCGAGGGGATTTATGCATCAAAATCGATGACCAACTGATTGTGTTTGAGGATAGAGCTTTATTCGTTAAAGATGAAAGAAGATGTTGTAATTCAAGACCATATCAAAGCCTTTAATCAGCTAGTTTGTCAACTTATGAATATTGATGAGGAGATTAAAGAAGAAGAGCAGTCACTACTCCTATTATCTTCCTTGCCAAAGTCGTACAAGCTGTTAGTTAAGATGATAATTATAGGGAAGCAAACTTTAAAGTTCGACGATGTGACAACACTCCTACCTGAGAATGAAAGAATGATGGGAAAGGAGAACGCATCTAATGGTGGTGAGAGTGTACTAAATTTGAAGGTTCTAATCGAGGAAGGAGTAAGGGGAGATGTGAGAGTTATTGAGGAAGGTCAAAATCTCGGGCCCGAGACGACAGCGAAAGGGAATGCTATTATTATGGAGAGAAGGGCACATTAAGTTCATATGTTCCCAGATGCGAGATGATTTGAAGAGTATTAGACAGACGAAGCTTCAAGAAAATAAAAAGAAGATGGACTCCTTGGTGGTTGTGTGTGATGAAGATGTGGTGTTATTGATGCAGAGTACATGTACTGATATGAGTAACACTTGGATGTTAGATTCTGTAGTCTCTATGTACGTTTGTAATAATAAAAGATGAAGAATTTGATGACGTGATCGTTAAAACAACAAGAAGATGAGGGTTGAAGGCGTTGGGAGTGTTCGCCTCAAGCTTCACACTAGAAAGGTCGGAATTCTTCATCATATGAGATATGTGCCATCATGTGATGCTAGTTTAATTTCGTTGGGTGAGATGGCAAGGCTCTATTAGTTTGTGCTTCTGTTTTGATGGTCAGCTTCTTATATCTCTACGTATGGGTATATAAAGAGGGAGCAATTGTTAGTCTCTGAAGGAGAAGAGAATACAGAGGAGAGGAGGAGTTCGAATCACTACATGAAAAGATTTATCAATAAATTAAGACACATCATTTTCAACGACTGATGAGGAGGAAAGTTTATGCATGCTGTTTAGGTACAGAAACCTGAGCATAGCTAATCTCCACGAAAATTTTCACTGCTCAGAAAATTTATGTTGTCTATGTTAGATATATGATTTCAAGAACAAAATAAAATACATGCATGTATTAAATATTTTTGAGACATTATTTATTTGAAAAACAAAAGTACATTCTCTCTAAAGTTTTCAAAGTTTGGTAATTTAATCAAACTTTATAGAGTTATTGGGAAAGCCAAAGGTTATGCATTAAATAAGTTTAAATGAGATACTGAATGTAGGAACCTGTGGCCAGTGGTAATCCTACACAGGAGGGGAGATGCTAAATCTATAAAGAAGCAAGCCAATCACTCGTGGAAAACTTTTTACGAAATTAAAAATTAAAAAGGATTAAATAGATTATTTAGGACTTAGTGAATCAGGGAAAGGAGATTATGAATTTACACAAGTTCTGTCACTATTATTCTTAGTTCTCAAGAAGCATATTCCCTGCACATGTAACTCATAGCACCAATAAATCTAATGCTAGAATATTTCCTTTCCTTGTTTTTAATGCTAGAACTTCCGGTAACAGTACTAACAACAGATATTTAGGTGGGGGTGGGGGTTAGGGGGTTAGGTGGGGTTGAATATTAAAGCAGTTATAAACTATTATTAAACTTTTATTCTGTAATATCCAAATACAATTGAAGACAGAGGAAAAACTGTTGGCCTGGAGAGCAACATACATAATAAAAATACAAAATACCAAAATTAAAATAATGCCACAAAGATCATGTTGCGAAGAGGTAACATGAATAATTGAACATTGTTGAAGAATATTTCAATCTTTTTGTAGCTGGGAGAAAAACTATGTGTTTGAAGTCCCGCGCTTCTTATCAAACTGTTGACCTTGATGCCTTTTCGATAAGCAAGCTTCTAGAGCACAAGCTGAAGGTGAAGAATGCAAGCAACCAAATGAGTTACGTCTGTTTATGTCAGTAATAAGCGAATCAGAATCTGAATCCCTACAACCACATGGAGACAAAGAAGGTAAAGGTCTGCGCATATCTATTAAATTCATGACGATGTCTTTTGATATTCATTATTTTTCATATCTACAACTTTTAACAAGTAAAAAAATACTAAGCATAACAATAAAACAGTAATTCTTCAAAGCTAGATTACAACATACCTGATCTCTTTAGATTACAAATCAATTGATGTGGCTGATTATCGCCCTGATAGTGGATGCAACTTCTAGTAAAATAAATAAGAAACAAGCAACAATAAAATCAAATCTAGAAATACTCATGATCAGGACTACTTTTGAACTTCAAGTTCAAGAAACGAGATGCTTACATAAGAATTCGATATAGGCATTTTGTACAGTATATAACCCAACAAACAGAGGAATAAATGAACCCCAAATGGTTGCTCTACCTAACGCCCTGAACTGGAATTAAAAAAAATTAATTAAAGTTTGGTCATCAGTCTATAGCACTTTACATGGTTTGACAACATGTTGATATGGCCAGATGTGACAAAAAGACAAGTTAAAATATATCTGAAAATAAAGCAAATTTCAAAGACAAAAGAAATTAGCAACTCACTGAATTGGTATTGTAATTTGATATCATGATATAAACCTAATTGATGAAGTTAGAATGAATAACGCCATTGATTGATATGGTAACCGATCAACTTGCATCCACATTTGTGTACAAATACCATCAACCTCGCAAAAGCTCAAACAACATGCAATTAGGATCTGCTCAACAAAATAATCAAAAGGCTCATACCAAGTTCAATGTAAAGGGGACTTCAAGGCTCAGAATCAAAAAGTTGAAGGGAAAAGGTAAGTGTTCTTTGTGTTTGGATCGAAGAATATGTCATTGTAGCTTCTACTTAGTTTTTTTTATGTTGAAGTGTTTGGAGTCATTGTTCTTCACTCTCATACCTAACAGATACTTGAACATCTAACTTTGGCTGATATATTCTGCGTACTAAGGCTCTTCCTCTGGAAGAATAGTCTATTTCACAATTGGTAAAGGTGCTCAGAGTTGCATTTTCCTCCCTTTCTAAGTCTTAATTCAATAGGTAGCTTTGGTTATCTGATCTTGAGGTTGTGGTCATCTCTTCTTTATTTCTGTTTATAGTTCATACAAATAAGTATTTTGACTACTGTGCAACCTTAAATATCTTTGATGACATTAACTAATAGCAAGTAAATTTAGCCATTAATTTGATAACTTTTTAATATTTGAATAGCTTTCTAACCATTAATTTGAATAGCTTTCCCCATCATTAATGTCTACAAATGTCTCCTTGATCAAAATTTTTCTCATGCATAATTCAAATGCAATTTTATATATTTGGTTTTTTCCATAAAAATATAAATGTTAATCAAATTAAAGTAAACAGTACATAGTTTCAAGCTTCTATAATATGATAGGCTAGTTGCTGACTGTTATCTTTCTGGCAATTAGGATCTGCTCAACACAATAATCAAAAGGCTCATATCAAGTTCAATGTAAAGGGGAATTCAAGGCTCAGAATAAAAAAGTTGAAGCCTAGTGGAAGATGGACATAAGCCATCGTTAGTAACATATACTACGCTATTAACTGACCTCACCAATCAAAAGCAGTTCAATTCAATTCCATCCCTCCTATCTCAAGTCGAAGAAAATAGGTTGAAGCCTGACTCAATCTTCTTCAATGCTATAATAAATGCTTTTTCTGAAGCTGGAAAGATCGATGAAGTCATGAAAATTTTCTAGAAAATGGCTGAAAGTGGATGTAAACCAACAACCAGTACTTTCAACACTCTCATTAAAGGATACGGTATCGCGGGTAAGCCTGAAGAATCATAGAAGCTCCTTGATATGATGTCTCGTGAAGCAAAGGCAAGGCCAAGCCAGAAAACATACAATATATTGATTAAAGCATGGTGCGATCAGAAAAACTTTAGTGAAGCTTGGAATGCAGTGTATAAGATGTGTGCTTCTGGCATGAGACCTGATGTTGTCACGTATAATACTATAGCAAGAGATTATGCTGAAAATGGAGAAACAAAGAGAGATGAGGATATGGTTCTTGAGATGGAGAATGAACTAAGGCCAAATGAATGCACTTTGGCTATTATAGTCAGAGGTTACTGCAAAGAAGGTAAAATAGAAAATGCATTGAGGTTTGTGAATCAGATGAAAGATATGGGCGTGCGACCAAATGTCATTGTCTTCAATACTTTGATCAAGGGGATTTCTAAATGTTGAAGATATGGGAGGAGTTGATGAAGTAAGTCAAATATTTAATTTAATCCTTTGATAGTCTGATGCTGCTCTTTTCCCCCTTTTCACCATATAGTATTGTTTTGTTTGCAGAGGGAATGATAGGAAGAAAAGAATAAAATAAACAAAGGTAGGTGCAAATATAGTATTGTTTTGTTTGCAGAGGGAATGATAGGAAGAAAAGAATAAAATAAACAAAGGTAGGTGCATATTTGTTTCTTTGTTATCAGTGACTTGGAGGAAAAATTTGGCTTATTTTCCCTCTTTTTTCCCCTCCTCTTGCACTTTCCTCTGGTAGCCAAACTCACAAAAGAAATCACTTGATTTTCATTCCTTTTCTTTTTTTAATCCCCATATTGTATTGTGCAACTTGCAGATAACACCCTCATATATACCTTCTATAGCACTTATCTCCTCTCAAATCATTTTTAACACTTTATAACTTCTCAATTCACGAGAAAATGAAGGTATCTGCAATTTATCCTTCTCAAAAGGTCAATCCAAAGATGATAAGTGCTAATAAAGTACTTGAGGGGTTGTAAGTGCGGCTTTAGTTATAGATGGGGGGTTTTCCACAATTTACCTTATGGTCTTTGGTTGTTCAAAAGTAATAGGAGAGAAGAAAACTTGGAAGAGAGGGAAGAATGGATCTTTATACTTAATTGGGATTCAACTAATCTGAAAGAAAGAGTACCTTGAAAATGTTTCATCAATTTCTTCTCTGATTCGAATTCTAACTACAATAAAGAAATAAGTTCATGCAAGGTTGTTTTTCTCAGCTGAGAGAAAAACTCAGCTTCAAATTGTACTTTTTGCGCATTATAGTTCCTGTACAAAATACTCAATTTCCTTGAGAGTCTGCCGAGATGTCTCAAATGTACAGGTCGTTTAAAATCAATTGACCAGTGAATTTCTATCTTCATACTTTTATTTTTGAGATTTTTTAGATTGTTAAAAATACGGTTGTTTGATAATTTTAAATGAAGGTTATGCATGATTTTTGCATATATTCCCAGTAGAAATTTCTACAACAGCTATTGATTCTTCACAATGCAAACAATGTTGATGGGCTTTGAGATATATCCTCAGGCAACAAATGCACCTTTTAGGTTCATTTTTTTTGCTGGACATGAACCCAAGAGTGGTCAATTTCCACTTCTCTCTTGATAAGTTATCTTCCCAACCATCAAATGCTGGACATGAACCCAAGAGTGGTCAATTTCCACTTCTCTCTTGATAAGTTATCTTCCCAACCATCAAAACCAACCACTCACATTTCTGAAAGAACATTTCCACTTCTCTCTTGATAAGTTATCTTCCCAACCATCAAAACCAACCACTCACATTTCTGAAAGAACATCCTTAACAGGCAACTGGAATAAAAGAAAAAGATGACAACTACTTTCTGCCTTCCTGTCAGAAGAAAATACAGAATAATTACTTTTCTCTATGTAGGCATCGAAAATTGTCTATAGGTCTTCACGAACAGCTCAGTGTTAGGAAATGACGATGAACGTCACCATCTGGTTCACAGAAGCTTGATTGATGTCGGTGAACGCTTGAAGTAAACCGACGAACTACGTGAAACAACGGAGCTTCGGAATGATGAAGATACGAACTGATCGAGAACCTCGTATCGTTCACAAACGGCGAAATACCCTTCGTGTCTTATTTGTTCAACTGATGATATAATCATTGGAGCTTATAGAACTCTTCGTCAGCTTTCCAACGCACTTGGAATCACTCAAATCCGAGTTTGGACGAAGAATTTACGGCGGAAACAATCAAACAGGCATAACGGAGCGTCTCAGGCTGAACTGGGGCACCCGAGGTGTCTCGGCTCAGGTTGAGACACCCTGGGGTGTCTCCAACGCAGAATTGGGCCTTTGTGTGGTTTTAACCGCTCCAAACTCCCCCGGGCCTATAAATACAAGCCTCAGGCCCTCATTTTTCAAGATCTGGAATTTTGGAGATTAGGCGAAGCCCTGCCGGATTAAAGACTGAAGGTGCACGAATTTCAGAGAGGAGGAGGAGAGATCGGATCGAGTTCTTCAACGCAAGAGAGAGAGATTCTTCAGATCTGTAGCCCGGATCCGTTCCTTAGGATTATCCCGTTGTGGTAATCTTAAGAAGAGTGATTATCTCGCTTCGCTGAGATAAGAGCTACAGTTTTCTCGATCCCTTGGCGGATAGACGAAGCTCTGTCCAATTTTTTAGTAATCAGATCTGATCGACGGTGGTCCACGGATAAACCCTGGCACAGGCAAAGATCCCACGCAAGCAGAAGACCGATAAATGATCTCTGTGTTTGTTTGATAAAGTTGTAAACTTTTTATTTTTATTGTGTAAGGAGATCTTATAAAAAGATCAACTTTTTATTTCATTCGAGTTTATTGTAACGACTAAAGTTGTAATAGATTCGATAACAATGGAAACATCAACTTTCACCACAAACAAACTGGCGATCATAGTGGGAGCCAACAGCTTCGCTGCCGAAGCTGTCGTACCGCAGCCGATGATCAAGATCCCTGTGCTCGAAGAGGTCGAATACGAGTTCGACCAGCAAAAGTTCGAGGAGTATGTCTCCTCCTCCTCCTCCAGATCTGCCTCTCCTTGCAGGTGCAGGAAGGCCTCCTCCTCCAGGAAGATCCGCTGGTCTTTAGATCTGAAGACCCAAGAAGACGATCTCTCCATCGTCACTGTTGTAGTTACACTTCGCAACGATCCGCCGACTTCCAAAGAAACCAGATCCAACGTTCGTGACAACTCCTCGAAAGTCAAGGAGTTGCCCGTTGAAAGTGCACCAGTGTTGACGAAGAGGGCTCGTCAAAGGCGCCGTCAACATCTCGCGCGTCAATTTGCCAAGGCTTTGGAGCCTGTTGACGGGATCTGCTATGATACGGATCTGAAACGCAGAAGGCGCAAAGTGTTCCAGCAACAAGCTTTGGGAACCTCCTCCCAACCACCTACTAATGAATGGGTTCGTGTCAAACGAACCCGTTCAACTCTTAAGGAGTGCATCCATAAGCGCCACGCACTGTTAGCGCAGATGAGGATCCTTGTACGGAATGCACAGGAGTTACAGAAAGGAAAGGTGGTCAAAAAGACACCAAGATCTAAGCAAGGTTGGATGCCAAAGGCCAAATTATCGCCTAAGGCAAAAGCATCTGAGGCTGCTCTCCGGCCTTTGTCAACTCCAGATCCCGTTCCTATTGCTCTCGCACCTCCGGCAAGGCCCTATGACAACGTGGATCTCCCCAAAGCTAGAGTCCCGTTGAAGGATCGCATCGGTTCTCTACCCGAGGATCGAGGAAAAGCGCCTGTTAAGGAAAGCTTGAGACCGTTGAAGGAGCTTCGAGCCAACATCCGGACTGGGGGTCGTACACGACCTCCTAACAAAATGATTTCTGCAACGGCCCGCTTGTCGGTGCGCGTAGAAAATCAGGAGCCCGTTAAGGTTTCATCCTCACAAAGGTGTGATTCCAAGCGTGCGACTCCTGTAGACGCCAACAAGGCGATGTTTACTCAGAGGAAAACGCGTCAAACAGAAGAATGCGTTATACCTGAGAATTTATGTAAACAGCCGATAGGTTGCTCTGACCGCAACGTCGATGAGTTGTACTATCGGGCTGGGGTACGAATAAATCTCGAAAGAGAAGTACCCGGGAAGCGGACTCTAACTGTCAGTGTATCAAAATTATCAGGGCAGTATTATCAGCGTGTAGCTGCCCTAAGACCGCTCCGCGAAGGGTCTCGGTATTTGAGAAGGTCTCCACTGAAGCATCAAAGCCCAAATCAAGGAGTTTTCGCAAAAGACGATCGTTTGCTCGAGATGACGAACTCCCAGCGGTTACTATCAACGTTGTCGATAAAGGGAAGCCTCCGATTAGTTCAAATAGCTCGAACCCCAGTTTTTCTCCAGGAAGAGAAGTCAGTTCGGGAATAACCCAACGAATATCTCAGCTTCAGCTAGAAGCCGTTGGACATAATGATTACCAGGGAGTCCTTGAAGGAATCCATTCTGACGACGAACTCTCGGATTCTTATTCCGCAATTGCCTCTGACGATACAACGTCTAGCATAGGACAAGCTCGGGAAGTGTTCATGATCAACACCGAGCAAATAGCCAAAATCATTGAGAATGCTCTAGCCAAGCAGAAAGAAACATTCAAAATCGAAATAGAAATGGTTATGCAGGAGATGAGACAAATGCACGACCAACAAATCTGAGCTTTGTCAAATCAGCTAGTTAAATCCAGCCGTCGCACCCAGAACGCCGCAATCGACAGCGATCCAGAAGTGGACGAAATCATCATGGCCGACGCACCTCCCAAAAATACTAGATGTAGTTCAAATGCACCCTCTTCAGGTAACAACGCTGGGGGTGGTCCTACCAAAGATGATAATGCTGGGGGTGGCCGCATTATTCCTCTCAGAAATTGTCCAAAACATGTTATAAGTGAGGATGAAAAGATAAAGGATCTCGAGAGCAAAATCGACGCCCTGATGTCTGCTCGAGAGGTGAAGAAGACCAGGATTCCGTGTCCTTACCCAAGAGAATGAGAATTGATCCCGTACCCGGCGAAGTTCAACCTGATCAACTTCACGCCGTTCGACGGGAAGGGTTCCCCCACTCAGCACATGATCTATTTCAAGTCCTATTTGGGAGTGATCTCTGGCAATGAGCCTCTGATGGTCCGGTCATTTGTTGGCACCCTTCGCGGTCTCGCCTTCGATTGGTACCGCCGTCTTAAGCCCGGAAGCATCAACAGCTGGGAGGACCTGGAGAGCATGTTTCTCACTCATTTCTTCGATGATGACGCCGAAGTGTCGATCAGAACACTCTTCGATGAAAAACAAAAAGACAGAGAGTCGGTGGATACCTTCATCAAACGCTTTCGCAATCAGGCAATGAACTGCAAGGATCCCGTCACGGAGGAGTTCGTCTTGCAGACCTGTCATAATAACTTGTCCATTAACATCTTGGACGTTATGGGAGTAGAGCCGCTTAATACCTGGAGAGAGTTGAAGGTGCGCGGAGAGCAGACCGAACGCTTTCTCAGAAGGAGGAAAGTCGAAAGAAGCCAACCGATGGCTAACCCTCTGAATTCGAGTCTCGTGTCCCATGATGAAGGGAAGGCACCTACAATAGTTGTTGATGTTAATCAGACGTCGCAACAGCAGTCCCGAAGACAGCAGAATAGTTCGGATCCGAGGTTCCAAAAAGAGTACTCATTCAAGGACGAAGACGTTCCAGCCATCTTCGAGACCCTTCTTGAAAACAACAAGATCAAGCTGCCACCCATCACAAATCAGGAGGAAGCTGACGATACTACAGATCCGAAGTACTGTGCGTACCACAGGAGGATCCTTCATCCCACCAAGGCTTGCTTTACTTTAAAGAATAACATCCAAACCTTGGTTGAAGCCGGCGTCATAACGCTAGGATAAGCCAAATAAGAACGGCAATACTCCGAAGAGTATACGAGTATAAACTGCTTCTCAACACTCCGACAAGTATACCCGGAAGAACTCTATATGTAATTTTCTTAGGGATAACCCGATAATTACAAACAAAGTGATAAACACTAAACCCCCACTATGACTTGTACTCCCACTCTCACTGTCTACCTGGTCAAACCTTCCTATAGTTAGGACCACAACCAAAGTCCCCTCTCGATTCCTTTCATGAACGAGAAGTCCACTTTCAAATTGAACGATCAAGCCTATAAAATGTAAGATCGTCTCAAACCTCCCACTTCCACTGCTTCCTTGGTCAAACCTATAAAAGTTAGGGCCACAACCAGATTCTCCTCTCGATTCCTTTCATGAACGAGAGGTCCATTTTCAATTCGAGCAATCAAACCTATAAAAGTTAGGATTGTCTCCGACCTCACT